TTGGCTTTTGGGACAACCACAAGATCTATCCAATGGATGGGATGGCTTTGTCAAAGGTTGGGCTTTTTGGTTAGTTTGTTCTAATTGGATCAATAGGCTTATTTTGGTTAGTTTATTCTAATTGGGTCAATGGGCTTATTTTGGTTGAGGCAATGGTCCATCTCCTTTCTTGTGCTTACCCATGTTTGGGTTTAAGAAAATGGGCTTGAGTTCCGAGGCCCCCAAGTGACCCGAGACTTCCATTTCTCAACCCATCGATGGGCCTCATGATAACTTGTTACCATCCATACCACAACCCACTCAAGCAAGCCCCGGGCATTTGAGTGGCTTGGGCCCACTTAAGCTTGTAGCGCGACGTGTTGCTTATTTGCTTGGCGTAGCATGTGTGCAAGTGCGTATGACGAACTTTCGCGTGCCCTAATCGGGTTTCTCCTCTGTAAGGTATTGCATTGGGCCGAGAATTTATTTGGGCCGAACCGTGAATTTTTTGGGCCTCAACAAAAGTCAAATCCAAGCCCTCCCACAATTGGCCATTAAATTGCTCCAAATGGCAAATCACCTAACAAGACAACATAAAAAAATGTGGGCGGAAATAAGATTCTAAGGCAGCATGGCCGTTCTGTTAATCCATAATTAATCAACTTAATTAGACTTCATATTAGTAAATTAATTTTTCTCATAAACTAAAAGATGAGTCCAAATCATTGATTCAATGTACAGCCACGTACATGGTGGTCAATGGTAGCTACACTATAATTAGACGTGTCAACCGCAAACTAAGCAGATTCAAACATGGACCCCTTAAATTCTGAATGCCTGACTTATAGTAAACATTGTTTGATTTATGGTCAAACATCCCATGTGACATCACTGACATGTTAGAAAAAGTTCTTCAGCTTAAACCTAACAAAAAACCTAATCAAATATATAATATAATCTAAACATAGCAAAAGCAGCTAAAAGTCGGCAGCTTTAAGCTAGCAAGGGTGTGACAAAAGCATAAAAGAATATTAAGCAAGATTAAATATGAGCCACTAGATTTATTTAAATAAAACAAACTAAATAATTAGAATTTAGACATTTACAATTCTCAAAGCCTTTCATTTGGGGCTAAAAGAATAAGATGTGGTAAAGGAGGAGAAGAAATTTACAAGTGAAAATTTCACTAAAATCCCTCCCTCCTCGTTTCACTCTTTCCTCATATAAACAAACACATAACTTGTAGCATAAGCACTCTTCCTCTCGGATCTTTGCTTCACTGCTTTTATATCGATAACGTCGAAAAAAAGGGTGGGGAAAAAGAGAAAGTATACTGCTTAGTGTGATTTTGACTCGAAATTTGAGTGTGTATGAATGTGGAATTTTAGGTTTTGTGTAACCTTTTTTTTTACCTACGCTCTCTTCTGCTGTTGCAGTTGCTGCTGCCGATTCTGGTACAGTTTTACTAGGAGCTCGGCGTAGAGAACCTCATTCCATGCATCAGGAACACCAGGAAGGCACCAATGGCTGCAATCCTGGAAGCTCTTTGGTGATCTCCTCTCTGCATTGGACAGGTGTTGCTTCCGGTAGATTGATGGGTGACCATCCTTCCGGAAATCGGTCATTCTTGTGATGTTGAGATAGGTGACATGGGTTTTCATGTTTCTCAACACCTTCTCCAGTACTAGCATCTTAGGGGGGTATGGCCTCAGATACGTCTCGTTGGAGATGGGAAGAGTCTCACTGTCACATTGGCCACCAGAATTCCATTGCCCACCGCTGTTGGGAGAGATAAAAATCATTATTACTTAGTAAGAAACATCAAATAGAACATTCATACAGCAATGCACCATCAATATGTAGCCTAAAATTGGATTACTTCAAGCTTACCTGAAATGGGAAGCAGAATAACCACGAAAGAAGACGATACTTTTCCTTGGATTAATTTTGGTATCAACCCATCTGGCCCATGTAGTTAAAGCTTTCCGAAATGCCTCAAGAACATTCAGTTCACCATAAACATGGCTACCTTCTTGGTAATAGTCTTTCCTGAAATTTTGAATGCTATTTTAGTCCCAACTACAAACCAAAGAATAATTTGAAACCACTTTGAACATCAAAATAGTAATAAACTTACCCTTTGGAGGTTTTCTCATGAGTCCACCAGTGTCCAGTGTTGAAGATGACGACATCTGCATCTTTATATAGATCAGAAGATCTCCCTACTAAGTCGAGACGAAGTGTCTCTCTCTTTGATCCGTCTTTTTCTGGCATTTCCCATTCTCGAACTAAGAAGGGAGACACAAAGAACTCCACCGTGCAGTTATAGTCCTGCCAAGTTTCACTAAATTAAGGATATGTTGCTGCACAATCCAATAAGAATAACTTGAATAATTGAATAAACCTACTTTGAATATGAAGGAGTATGAAGCTTCGCCACGAAAATGGGTTCTTCCGTTTGCTTCAAAGACCTTGCTTTTATCTTTGGCCGAGTTTCTCAGGATGCAAACCAGAGACTCCCACATATTCCTGTTCAGCGAATCACCAACGAATACCAGGCGCTTTCCTCGCAACAACTCCAACATATGACTTCCATCCAACCTGGTTTTTTTTATAATAAAAAAAACACATTTCAATATTGATTAAGTCTTAGTCAAGCAAAACCCAGAAAACTAAGTCATGGATCAATTTCAATAGAGATACAAAACAAAATCCACAACTGATGAATAGTCAGCAATCACAAAAAGATGCTAAAAATAGAACCAAAATTGTAAAATTGACAACAGATCAGTATGAATTTCAATCTATCAAAACCCAACAACCCTTCATCCCATGAAAACTAAGAACTTTGCAGGCAATCAAAACACACGCATCTCAAAAGCCAAGCCAAATACCATCTTTTACATAAAGAAAACATGGCAATTAAAGCATCAAAGTTCAAAATCAAAAACTACAATTTGGCCACATACCTTGGCAGAGTGCAATCCTTAGGCTTCCATTTGAATTTCTGAAAATCCTTATCAGGCCTACCATTAAGAATGCAATTGAATTGCTCATCAATCAGAGGACAAGACCCGGGTTTGTATAGAGGGTATGAATCATCCTTCACCCATTCCCCATGTAATATATCACAATTCATCAAAGACTTCATCAAATCATCATTCCCCTGCTTCCCCTGCTTCCCCTGCTTCACCGACACACCAGAATTTGTTTCATTGTTCCGTTTCTTCAACACAGAAGCAGTATAATTCGATTCCACTCCCTTCTGTGCAACACTCTTCTCCGGAAAACCCGATTGCGGTGCCGAATTCGAGCTTTTATTCCCCGCGGCCGCCACCGGGGTTTTCGGGGCGGCAATTGCGGTCTGATTGGCCTTAAAAACTGCGGCTTTATCAGAATTCTGGGTGCTTTCAGTTTGGTTCTTCACAAGGGTGGTTGGTTCAGGCTTACTAGTAGTATTCTTGGGTGTAACTAGAGGTTTAGGCGGTGCGATTGATGTCTGATTTGGGTTCAAAATTGTGGGTTGAGTTTGGTTTTTCACAAGAGGTGGCTGTTTATTCACAGAAGGAGCTTGTGCGGCGGCGGTGCTAATAGATCTAGAGGGCTCTGTTTGTGGAGCAAAAGCAACGGTTTGATTTTGTTGCTGTGGAGATGAAGTGCCATTGGGAAACAAGAAAGAGAAAAATGAACTAGAACTAGAACTGGTTCTGGAACTTGTGAAGATGTTTGAGAACCAAGGAGCACCAGAGTTTGGGGAGGGGCTGAAGGCCAAGAAAACAGTGAAGGCAACAAAGGCAAACATGAACCCATAAGCAAAAGCCACAGTTCTTCTGGTTTTGAGGATGGAGAAGAGGCTCTTGAGGTCTGAGAGCAAAGTTCCGCCATTGATGGTTGGAAGGTGGTGCTTTGTGGCCTCAGCCATAGATGTGATCGTGGAAGGAGAGGAGCCAGATGTGGGGAAAGTGGAAGTTGAGGAGAGAGAGAGATGAAAGTACAAATGGTGCTGCTTCTGGTAGAGAGAGAGAGAGAGAGAGAGTTTTGTTGTGTGAGAATTCTCAAGTGAATGAAACACTTATGAGAGAGAGAAACTGAAGAGGGACATGGAGTTTTACAATGCTGGACAAAGGCATGTGAGCTCTGGGGAATATAATGTTTGACCCCGGTTTCCTGGATTATTTACAAGACTGCCAAATGTTATCATGCAAAAGGGTACACATAGTACTTGCCGCTTAATTTAACTCCAAGTAACTTTTGACACGTGGAGGGTTAAAGAAAATTGAGTAAAAAGGATGGATCTACAAGTTCTGTGAGCCAATGAGGCTGTGACATGTGGAAAGAAGGAAATATAAAATATAAAGAGAGAAAAGAAGTTAAGTAATTAAACACCGGCCTTCTTCTTACCATGTTTTGTGGCCTGATTGTTGGGTGTTGCCCTTTTCTCTAATTCATAGACATGAATCTGCTAACACTATTTTATAAAAAAAAGGTGTAGATTTTGTTCCTCCGCAACAGAAACTATGCACTCAACGGTCAACTCGAACTGAAAATAGTATTTGATCCTCGCATTGTGCGATCAAATCAGTGAACTTCAGAACATTGTGTGAAGCAGTGAGCTTTGTTTTGTACCTTGAGTTGTTCATAAATGAGGGTATTTATAAATCAAATAGAAAAAATTACAAAATAAAATAAAAAAGGATTTATAACTCCATATATAAATTTTAGTTCTAACAAAATAAGTTATGATGATAAAGTATCAAAATCATTAGTAGCAGAAATTGGTTATTTATTGAATTTAATCAATGAATTGGCTGTAAAAAATCAACATTAAGTTTATATTTTCAAAGACTTTTTTTAGTTCCAGAACATGAACAAGTAAGAATTCATTCAGAGGTTCAATTTAAAAAATTAAAATTTTTATTCGATGCAATTAGAACTATTCCAAACGATAAAACAATATAAAAAAAATCTATTGAAATAAAAGAAATTTATAAAAAAGTTCCTCGGTGGTCATACAAATTTAAAAAAGGTGTAGAACTGTTCCAAACGATAAAACAATATAAAAAAAATCTATTGAAATAAAAGAAATTTATAAAAAAGTTCCTCGGTGGTCATACAAATTAATCAATGATTTAGAACAACAAGAGGGAGAAACCGAGGAAAGTGTGGTAGAGGATCATGAGATTCGTTCAAGAAAATCCAAATGCATAGTGATTTTTACTGATAACCACCAGAATACTGATGCTTATACCAATACCCAAGAAATAAATAATACTGATCAAACATACGAAATTGCTTTAATACGTTATTCACAACAATCGGACTTTCGTCGAGACATAATCAAAGGCTCTATGCCCGCTCAAAGGCATAAGACAGTTACTTGGTTTTTCAAGCAAATGTTCATTCCCCCTTTTTTTGATTGAATAGACAAATCTGTTTTTTTTCTTCTATTTTTTGATATTTCGGCGCGTATGAAAATAATTTTTAGAAATTGGATGTTGAAAAACACAGAATTTTTGGATTATACAAAGAAAAAGACAAAAGAAGGTGAGAAAAAAAGAAGAGGACAAAAAAGAAGAAGACAAAAGAAAGGAGAAAGCGCGTATTTAAATAGTAGAAGCCTGAGATAGTATTTTACTTGCTCAAGTAATAAGAGGTAATGTTAGTAACTCAACCAATTCTTAGAAAATATATTATATTACCTTCATTGATAATGGCTAAAAATATAGTTCGTATACTATTATTTCAACTTCCTGAATGGTCTGATTATTTAAAGGATTGGAATAGAGAAATGCATGTTAAATGTACCTATAATGGCATTCAATTATCAAAAAAAGAATTTCCAAAAACCTGGTTAACAGACTGTATTCAGATTAAGATCTAATTTCCTTTTAGTCTTAAATCTTGGCATAGATCTAAACTATAAGCCCCTTATAATGATCCAATGAAAAAGAAGGATAAAAAAATGATTGTTGCTTTTTAACAGTTTTTGGAATGGAAACTGAACTACCTTTTGGTTCTCCCAAAAAAAAATTTCATTTTTTGAACCCATTTTTAAAGAACTAAAAAAAAATAATGAAAAGAAATGTTTTATAATTCTAAGAATTTTAAAAGAACAAACAGAATTGTTTCTAAATATCTCAAAAGAAACAAAAAATGGATCATTAAAAGCACTCTGTTTATAAAAGAAATAATAAAAGAACTCTAAAAAATAAACCCAATTATATTATTTGGATTTGAATTGATAGAAATAGAAGTATTTGAATTGAGTGAAACTAAAAAAGATTTGATAATTGGTAATCGGATGATTCATGAATCATCGATTCAAATTATATCTCAGGGTTGGACAAATTATTCATTAATAGAAAAAAAAAATGCAAGATCTAACTGATAAAACAAATACAATCATAAATCAAATAGAAAAAATTACAAAAGAAAACAAAAAAAGATTTACATTAGTTCTAACAAAATAAGTTATGATGATAAAAGATCATAATCACACAAAAATATTGAATTTAATCATAGGAGTAAGAGGAGACCAAATTAGGAAGGTTTCCTTTGTTCATTGTCGTTTTCAAAATGTTCAGAATAAGTAAGTTTTTAAGAGATCCGAAATGGGAAACCTCTCACAAGTGAAATGGGTAACATTTTTCTCATATTGTGGGTATCAAAACCCCTGGTAGTCAAGTAAAGCATCACTAACGATATAAGGAGACTCCTCAAACCAAGATTAGGAACTCCCAATATGTCGAGCGTAGCTTATCAGATGATGAGCCACACCACTAGCTGAAATTCATTAGTAATTCGAATATATGTGCCCCACTACTCGGTCCATTATATTCTAAAATCATATATGGGCCTATTCAAGGGTGGTTTTGCCATTTCCCCCTTGATTACAACCTAGCAAACAATTTCAATATATTCTCTGAGCATGGCGGATTCATGATTCAAATTGGGGGGAGGGGGGGTCATGTATTTACTGGGGCCGTTAACTAAAAACATACAAATTTATGTCAATATTATACAAAACATTAAATTGATTGGTGAAAGCTTACAAAACATTGTAAGGGGTCAGGACCACCTTTGGCTTAAAAGTGGTTCTGCCTTTGTATATGTGTGTAGCATTCATGGGCGGAACCACGGCAAAGGTTGTGGTGGGCTATAGTCTAGGTAAGTTTAAAAGAAAAAATAATAATAAACCTATATCTATATGGCCCACTACAAGAAATCTCTTCTTTTGGTTTTTTCATTGCAAAATACGATGTCTTATTATTATTTTTAATAAATTATCTCTTGCTTTTTTTTTTGGTGGAATTATATGCTGCCTTTGGCAAAAGGTTTTTGAAGAAGAAGAAAAAAAGCCTATATGGCCCACCATCAACTACAACACATTTGGGAAATGTTATTTTCTCAAGTTTATTTAAATTCTTGAAAACGGAGCAATATGTTAACCTAATTTGCCAATAAATTTTTAGGGATTTAAACTACAAAGGTAAAAAAAATAAAAATCATTAGATTTTAAACTTAAAATATTAGCTAGTCCACCCACCGAAAAATTCTTTGTTCCGCCCTTAGGAGCGTTGCGTTTATTTTACATAAATTGTCTAAGAATGTGAATATCTCTTGAGAGATCTTACCATTCGTGTTCACATCTTTTCACACATTAAATTAATAAATTGTGCTTAAATTAAATTGAATTAATTTTCACGCGACATTCCCCTTCCAGGAATACCCAGATACACAACTCATTGCCAAGTCTACATGAATCTTTGCTTTGAATAAACATAAGAGTTGTCTATTTCCCTTTCTTATTTTTCTTCCTTTTGCCTTTTTCCTTTTCATAGGTGACTCAATTCTCATGTCATGCCATTTTTCTGAAAAAAGAGTGAATTAATGTTGGGCTCCATTCCTCCATTATTTTGTAGGAGCACTAGGACAACTAGGACATGATCATTCAATAGGGGTGCCCACACATTAATTGTCATAGACTCATATTTCATAAGGCCATTGACCAATTGGGAGGTGAGAAAAACAAAACAAAAATAAATAAATAAATCTCCATAAAGTGGCAAAATCTGTAATTTACTAAATTTGTGGTACCCTTGAGATTGAAATTTGAAAGTGGAGTCGGCTTATGCATGCGGTTTTCCACTTCCAACTGTTCTCCCAATTTAAACATTAATCACTTTCCGCGTGGGGCCCTCTGAGTTCTCTAACAACGCCCGACGGTGAGTGAAAAGTCTCTTTCTTCCCGTAAATGGAAGCGGAAAGGGTAAATGTGACGCGTTGGATTGGGTTGGAGGGTCCCACTAGGACGGTGACAGAGCGGACACGACAATAAATGGCTCAGCGCTTGGATTTTGTTTTAGATTGGCATCACCGTCGGATGTTGGCGTTCTTGGGGTTTGGGGAAATTGAAATCGCCATCGCCAACGCCAAATGTTGGCTGTTTGATGAGTTCCATGAAATTTTGGGATCTAGTAAATGGATTTGTGCCATTTATATACATTCTCCTTCTGTCTACCCTACTGATAAATCAAGGAACAACAACAATGCTCTTAAAAAAAACAACCAAATTATGAACGACAACTATCCTATTAAGACGGACGATGATATATTAAATTCACACACATTACACGGATATTACGACTCGAATCCAGAACAATTGACTCATGGTCATTCTTACTTTCTCTCCGGATACCATACATAATATAAATCTATATATACAATTTATAAAATAAAAAAAAACTCACTTATTGAGTTCCTTTTTCTTGTTGTTATCCCTTCCACTAGGTTGTCTTATCATATTTGGATGCATGAGGGAAAAGTCTCTCAAAACATAATGATGTTTTCTAATTTTTCTAACTCTTGAGAGGATCTCGATGCTTTTATTTGATATTATTATCTAACTCTTGAAAGGATCTTGAAAAAGGAATATTTATATTGACAGGAAAACAAATTAAGGTTAGTCATAGCACCTATGCATTATCCCATAATGCTTCGCATGGCTTGGCGATCATGGAACCTTTTGTATTTTCACTCGTTTTTACATTAGTAAGAAAATCCATTGTTGCCAACTTTTACACTTAAATCCCCGAGTATGCT